AAGACACAGGTGGCCCTGGCCTCTCACCAGCAGCTGTGCTGTGAGGACACTCAAGCAGCCTACAGAGAGGCCTGTGGCAGACAGCAAAGGTCTCCAGCCATGGCTGGCATAGTAAATGGACACATCCTCAGATCACCCACGTCTCTGGGATGCTGTAGATGGGAGGGTGGGGCAGGGGAAGAACTTTGCAGATTGATTGAGGATGCTGAGGTAGGAAGAGCATGCTGGAGCCCCCAGGTGGCCCCACATCCAATCACGCCTCTATACAATCTCTCCTATTCTCAACAAGGGTGGAGGGCGATCAGGCCGACACTCGCTGGAACAGGAAAGGAAAAAAATGCCTCTCAACAGGATAGTGGGTGTCACAGTGGTGTGGCCACACGATGGAAACCTAAACTGTGGAGCGTGGGCCAGTGGGACACCAACAGTGAGGGTGGCCTCACAAATATAATGAGTGAGATGAGCCATGCACAGAGGAATTCAAAATGGCGGTGTGTGACCTTCAAAAACATCCGGGACTTCGACTGCTCAAGCCAGGGGTGGCCTATGGGAGAAGAGTGGGCACGAGCGAGGGGCTTCCCGGTGATAAAATGGCTGATATCTTGATTGGGTTGTGGATTTACATGTGTGTATACATTTGTCAAAAGTCATCAAGTTATACTTGTAATAGATGTATGTTTCAAAGTATGACCCATTTACCTCCATTAATAGAAACCCAACTGTCTATTAGAACCTGCAGTCATAAAGTCAGTTCACAACTTCTGAGGCCAGAGTCTAAGCAGGATCCAGGTGCCCTTCCCATGGTCACAATCTTTGCTGCTCCCTGTGCCCTGTTCTCAGGTGCTCCTCACATGCTGTCTGAGGATGGAGCCCAAGATCTCGAAACTCCAGCATGAGACAGGACTTCCTCTTGCCCCATGGTCCCCAGGTGAAACTGCCTACACAGGGTAGAGTGTGGGCAGCAGGCTCCCTCCCCTGGAAGTGTTCCGGCCAGAGTGGACTGAATTATGTGGGTGTTGTAAAAGAGGCCTCTGTGACCTGAAAACCTCTAGTCGGGGAGTCTGCCACCCAGCAGTGCTTGTCTGTAGATAGTGACTGCCTCTGGTCCCAGATCCTGACACCAGTAGGCTCTGTGTCCCAGCAGTGCTTGTCTGTAGATAGTGACTACCTCTGGTCCCAGATCCTGACACCAGTAGGCTCTGTGTCCCAGCTAACAACTTGGGGACCCGGTGTTTGGACCCAGAGGCAACCTGAGCTGACCCACATCCTGAAGAACCCAGATCTGTACGCAATGTCTGAGACCAGGCCTAGTTCACCTAGGAGCTCTGACTTCCCAGATGTGTCCTGCCCTCTTTTCTGGCTCCTGGCACCAATGTCCTGATTTCCTGTAGCTCTTCTAACATCACTACATTGGTGCTGTTCCCACTGGCATTTCAATTTCTGGAACCCTACGAGTTCTTTCCTACCCCAGAGCCTTTGCACCTGCTGGGCTTATTTTCCTACAGAGCTCTTCCCTCCACCAACTCCTACTTATCTTTCAGGTCTCTGAGTGTTACTTTCCCACTGGTAAGAAAGAGTTAAAGAACTGGAGGCCCTGAACACTACATTCTTAGGGACACCTGTGCTCTTTCTGTAACGTTCACCTTACAACTCCTCCTCCAAGCACAGCACACCCCCAAACTCGGCACTCTCCCTGTCGTCTTTGGAAAGCCTTCTCTGGGAGCAGCACTATTGGCTGGGCTTGCAGCAGCTCCTGTTATTACAGACAGATGAGCTATGTAGAAATATTTTAGGCAGTCAGGGCCAGGTCCTCGAGAGGAGGACAAAGGTGAAACACACCACACCTGTGACCGGAGACACATTGGCTCAAGATAAAGACACGATGACCAGACTTACATATTTCCTCAAAGAACAAACACTGGGCCTAATGAAGTCTGGATAGACATCGACCACTCTGGTAGGTGATGATCAGAGACCCCTGGACCCACCACTTCCTAGAAGAATCTTTTTTCTTTCTATTCATGCTTGTTACGTGACTTGTTTCCTAGTTGGACCACTATTATTTAAGTAACTACATTTAAAACCTTATTGGATGATCATGGCTGTGGCCCACAATGTACCCACAATGAATTTCACCCTGTAAAACTCCTCTGTAAAGTGAGGTCCCTGGGGTACCCACTCAGGTCCCCCTCCTGCTATTCAGGCACTTTCCTATCAATAAATATCTTCCTACTCTTAACCTCCATTATTCCTAGAACTCATCCTTCAAATTCTAGAGAACAAGAACTTGCATATCATACAGCTGGCAGGTTGGGATATACAATATTTCATATTTCATCTCTGGTATTATCACCTCCTTGTCCATATTTCATCTCCAGTATTATTTTCCATAACACTGTGACTGTCCCTTGTCCTGGGCTCTCAGGGACTCCTTGTTACACCCTGTCTTTGGCAGGCAGAGCTGGAGGAAGCAGCAGCCAGCAGCTGCAGGGCAAGGGTGGTCAGTTCAGAGCCTGCGTCCTTTCCTGAGCCTGGCAGAACCCTGGGCCTGCGTTTCCTGCCTCCTCCTCACACCAAGCCCAGCCTGGCCACAGCACTGCCATGTTCACTTCCCCCAAGCCAGGCTCCTTGGCTTCTCCTGGGGCTTCCTGCCTCCTCCCCTGGCCCCAGCTGCTCCCACTCTGGCCGTATCTGCCTCTCCAGACCCAAGGATTGGCCTAGCCTCGTGTGCTGGATCTGACAGCCACTGTCATTTCACAATGGGCTTCCTCTGCCTAGGGAGGCTGGGGTCTCCTCAATAGGGGCTCATCCAGGGCAAGACCAGGGCCCAGCGTGGTCAGCAGGTGCCCTGGTGGGTTAATGCTCTGCAGCCACAGCCTTACAGGTGCCTGTGCAGTGCCAGAGTCCCAGTTTGGGCCTGGCAGACATCAGCTCCTGCTGCACAGTTACAGCCCTGTGATGAGTGTGGCACGAGAGGGACTCAGGTGGGCAGGCAGAATATGGAACCTTCTCCCAGATCTCCCTGTGCCCCTTCAGCTCCCCCACTGCAGCACTGGGCTGGGGTCCTGTCATGCTTTGGAAGAGACTGGAGCTGGAGGTGTACTGCTGGGGTTGGCTGCAGGGGCCCCAGAGTGGCAGGGATATTGCTGCATTGGCCACAGCAGTAACTGCTCTGACTGGAACCATGTGAACTGGGAATCAAAGTTTTTTCCCCACAGCTACCATGGGAGGTAGAGACAGTAGGAATGTCAGCTGCCTCACTGACATTCGGGAAATCAGGTCCAAAGAGAGTGTCCAGCCCAAGGTCACAGAATAGTCAGGAGCAGCCCTGGAGCAGCTGGTGGATACACTAGGCCTCCTAGTGTCAAGGTCAGGCCTTTTATCTCCATCTGCACATGGGTGATATTAAGGCTGGAGGGGTTAAATGCCTTCCTCAAAAGTCACTTGTAAGAAGTCGGGCGGTGTTGGGGGGACCAGAACTGCGCCCTGATTTCTGGCCATCCCTGCCCTGGAGCCCGGAACCTGTGTCCCTTTGGTCGGGGCCCTCCCTGCAGCAGGCTGGGCTTTGCCTTGTGTGCCACCACCCACAGCAGCATCTGCAAAGTGGTTCCGGCCAGGCACACAGGACCCTCTGCCACTCTTCTCGCCATGGGCTCCCGACTCTCACGTGGCCACTCACTCGTGGGACCTTGAGAGCCAGAAGCCCTTGAATTTTACTTTTAAAGGCTGAGCTGTGCAGGGTGGGAATCAGGGATATTGGCGTCTGAATCCAGGGCTTCAAACTCAACTGCACACCCAGCCCTTTTTTATTTTTTGTTTTGAGACAGGGTCTCACTAAGTTGCCCAGGCTGGCCTCAAACTTGTGATGCTCCTGCCTCAGTCTCCCCAGTATCAGGGATGAAAGGCACGCACCACGACAGCTGAAGAGGACTGAGCCTTGAGCCTGCCTGTGAGCCTCTCGGGCGGGCCACGCTTGGTTCTGGGAGCCAGAACAGATCAGAGCTGCTCTGGGTGGGGAGCTGGGCCTGCTGTTCTAGAGGGGCTCCCACGTCCTTGCACTCCGGCCCATGCTGCTCTTCTGTTCTGGGAAGTCTTGAGGGTGGGAAGCTCCTGCTTCTGGGGGAATGGAGTTCACCCTGGCATAGCAGCCTTTTGGAGCCCAGGCAATGTAGGGCAGGCCTTGAACGGGGCCCCTCCATCTCTGACATTCACTCCCTTCCCCCACTTCTCCTCCCGTGGTCCATGAGGACAGTGGCCGCCACATTCCTGGAACTCAAACACTGGCACTTTCTCCCTAGGCTTTGGTACTTCCCTTGGCTTCCCCACTGCACCTTCTAATTCGCTGACTTCCCGTCCCTCACTGTCGTTGTCCTCTCCTCCTTAACCTTCCAGCCCCACCCCCGACCATGCAAGGCCACCCATACACCCCTGGACGGGAGCCCAGGTGGTGGCCCCCTGGGCACGGTCACTGAGGCTGGTGCGGAGTCCTGGCTGGGCCTGGCCCATCTTCTCTCCTTACAGGGACTGACCGGGCTTTGCAAAGTGCATCTGCCTCCTTGAACCACAGAATACATCTGGCATAAGGGTTTAAAGGACATACCAGCCACTGTAGTCATGGACAGATGGAAAACTGGAGCCCAGAGAGGGCCGGGCACTTGTCAAGGTCACACAGCAAGCTGAATCTGGGACTTCGGGGTCCCCCTTTACCTGTCTGTCAAAGCCCTGTGAAGGGGACAGGGAAGCCTTCTCATTGACTGAAAGACTCTTCATGCAGCCCCTGGGATCATGGCCCATTCCTCAGGTGAGCCTTCCTTGGCCATGGTAAGCCAGGCTCCAAAGAAAAGTGTCCCTGAACCCTCGTTCCTTCTTGCGGCTCACTCAGACCCGCCCTGTATCTTCCAGTTGAGCACAGGCTCAGAGAAGTGGCTTCCCCGGCCAGGCTCACCCACAGCAAGGAGCCTGGAATCGGGTAGCCTGATAAGGAAATCCAGCCAACTCACCTGGCTCCCAAGTTGTCCCTGCCAGTCCCCATGCCATTGTGCTGCTGTATCTCCTGAGGGTCTTCTCGGCAGCCCGGCATGCTGGGGTCCCTTGGGTGGCGGTCGTGTCCAGCTGCAGAGCTGCGTGATGTCCGCCAAGAGCACCCGTCTCCCACGGGAGAGCTGGCTGAGGGGGCGGGGGCAGGGGCGGTGCTGGGTGACCCACAGCGGCCGTTTCCTCCCTATTTTTAGCAGCTCAAAATGTTCCTCCACAGCGAAAAGTTGGTCAGGACTGAAACTTTCCTTTTCTTCCCGGTTTTGTTTCCCTCCAGGCGAGGAGAATTTCAATGAAGCCAGCGCTCTTTTGGATGCAAATCGCCCGGGCTCTCCCAGGATGTGTGGCCCAGGACTCAGCGTTCTGGGCCCAGAAAAACCTCCTCGCTGGCTTTCGAGGGCTACTGTGGGAGCAGGGGGAGGTCTCAGAACAGCCCTAAACCCCATCCCACCCTGCACCCCCAACTCGCTGTGGCTGCCCGTAGCCAGAAGGACTTCACCCCATGGCCATCTCAGCTAAGGCCTGAGTGACCAAGGAAGCCCAGAGCCCCTGTCCTCAAGGACTCCAGGCTGGGGAGACTGTGACACAACTTGAGGAAGCCTCTGTGCTTGGGCAGACGTGATAGATAGGATGGAGGAACGGGGCCATCCAGGGACACCTAAATCCAAGCCGGGATCTGCCCCCATAAGAAGGAGGGAAGAACACTAATGTGGGTTCTCAGGGATCCATACACAGGTGTGGGGAGCTCATGGTGGGGGGGTCTCTGAATACCAGAAATCTCCCTCCAGACCAGGGACCTAGGTCTGTGGTGTCTCGTCTGTCTGGCACAAAGGTCCTAAATTCAATCCCCAGTACAGGGGATAAAAAAGTCCCAAAAAACATTGATGGGCTGGGGATTTATCTCAGTGGCACTATTCCTACTTTAAAAGCTCAAGGTCCAGAGTTCAATTCCCAGTACTGGAAAAAAAAAGAAAAAGAAGTCTTTATCCAAGGTTATCTGTTAGAACCCTATGGCCATCATGATCATAACCTGAATGATTAAAGCAAAAAATAAAAAAATTTAAAAAAAAATTCAGCAATCTAGAGTCCAGGACACTGAAATCAAGGGGTGGTCAGTTCTTTATACTAGAAAGTCTTGCTTCCCTCCAAGGTTGGTGGTCCCTAGCATCCCAGGTGTTCTTGGCTTGTAGACCCACGCTTCTGGCTCCATACACTTCTATCTTCAAATGGCTGCCCTCATCTTCCCTTCCTATAAGGACACCAAGTCCTCAGACTGGGCCCACCCTAGTCCTGAATGACTCCATCCTTGATTACATCTGTGAGGACCCTGTTTCTAAATAAAGGCACCTGTGGAGGCCCTGAGGGAATGTGAATCTGAGGACACAATTCAATCTAGTATAAATGCTGCCCAAGACACTCAGGTGGGGACTCCTGTGAGTTGTCCCCAAGAGAATCCAGTTGGGTCACAGGTGCTGCTGTCCTAACTGGCAAAGGCAGGTGACAGAGAAAGCCTGTTTCCAGACAAACTCAGGGCATGGGCCACAGATCCCAGCATTCTGCCTTCCCAACTCTATTGAGGGTGCATGGAATTGGAGACATTTGTCTGACTTTGAGGAGGAATCTACCACAGTCCGACTTTGACCCCAATGCCAAGGCCTCCCCTGTGACCTTGGGCAGGTGACCAGTCCTGGACCCACAGGGCCTCATCAGGAGCCCTTTGAGTCCTGAGGGCTATGGCCTGGAGGGTGGCCTGAGTCACTGCCAGCTCCAGCTGACAGGCTGGGACAGGGAGAGAGCTCTGCCCGGCAGATTGGCTGCACCAGGGGGTTAGTGTGAGGGAGGAGCCACTGCACCCTTGCCCAGGGACACTGAGTCTCAGGAAAAAAGAGGTTGAATTCTGGCTTTTAAATTTAGAAGCCTTTGTCAGGATGAAACCTGGGGAAGGTTTGGGAAGATTCCTGAAAAGCCTCAGATTCCTCAGGATCTTGGGAACTGGGATGGAGAAGCAGATTTGGGCATTTTGGATGATCCCCCAGTCAGTGTGAGCTGAGGGCAGTGGGGAATTGGGTCATCTCAGAAAGTGACAAGGCCCTAAAGCACCCAGCAATGGCTGCAGAGTACAGGTGGCTTTGGGGCCTGAGACCAGCTATTCCCCTTCTAGCTATCTTTCCCAAAGAGTTAAAGACGTCATATTACAGTGATCCATGCACGCCCATGTTTACAGCTGTACAACTCATAATAGCTCAATCTTGGAAGTGACTGATATGTCCATCAACAGATGACTGGGTAAAGAATATGCAATGTTTACACACAATGGAATACTACTGTGCCATAAAAAGATAAACTTGAGTCATGTGTAGGAAAATGGATGCACCTGGACACCATAATATTAAGGAAAATAAATCAGACACACAACTTAAATATCACATAATTTCTTGTATATGAGAAACCCAAAAACAAAGAGCAAAAGAAAAGATAAATAATAGGAAGTAGGGAGATAGATCTTCCTCAAAGGGTTAGGGTATCAATAGATGGAGGAGGGGAAGGGAAGGAGACAAAAAAAAAAGAATTAAGATGTCAAACTCCACTTGAGGAATATAATCGTTATGCACTGCAAATATGGACTAATAAGAAATTGGGGGGGGGAAGTATGAAAAAAAGAAGAGAAGTTGGGGACCAACTCACACCCTGCCAGTTGTGCTTGGGCAGAGCTGTGTCTCTGTCCCTGGGGCTGTAGCTCCTTCCCTTCCAGCCAACCACTTCCAATAGCACAGAGTGTCCCTGACACTTGTCCCACAGAGTCTGCTTCTGACAGTGAGGACCACGGGGATACTTCTCAGTCACCCATGGCTGGGTCCCACCCCTGCTCTTCTGCACAACAGCAGAGTGAGCCTGGGCAGGGCCTCCCTCTCCCCAGACCTTGTCACACTGCGGGCTGGTGGCAGTGCTGCTTCTGGAAGCTCTAGGTAAGGACAGGGCAGGAACTGAGCAATAAGAGTCCTCTACTGGACAAAATAGCCCCAACATTCTAAGATGGCTCCTGTGCCTAAAATGGTTCCCACTTTGGAAAAGTGAAATCTAGCTCCTCTGGAGAAGACAAACCTAATTTGTTGCTCCACCCTGCTACCCTCAGGATCCTCCCCTTCCAATCATCCGGCACCTCGTCGCTAGCCCCACAGTACACCAATTCTCAACTCATGATACTCCCCCACTGCACTGCTCAGTATAAACCTCACCCCAGTTAGTCTCGCCCTCTCTCACCATTGTTCGAGGCAACCCAGCACTCTTTCCCCCCAATAAAGCCTTGCCTTGGGTGCTCCTGTTTCAGCTCATTTCCTTTCACTGAGAACACAGGGCTCTCTGTGACATGACTGTGTCCTGTGGGGGTCACTGGCTCTCTGCTATCTCTGTCTGCTTCCCTCCCATGGTGTCTGAGGGTTCCAAGCCCCCAGGAGGCAGGAAAAACTCCCCAAACTGCTGCTTTCACTTGGGATGATGCCCATGGGCACATGAGGTCGCTTTCTTCTCCCAGAGATGAGACAAGAGCGGCTTGGGGAAAGAGTGGCAGCTGAGTGAGAACCGCTAGGGAGACTGAGGTAGCGAGTGCCCTGCCCTGCTTTGGCTGTGAGCAAGCAGCCTTCCTGGCCCCAGTCAGACCAGGATCTTGGTCCCTGGGCCCAGGTGAGACTATGAGGGACCCACACTGCCTTGTGCAGAAGCTCCCTTCTCAGCACAAACCCAGCCCTTCCTTGGGGCCATACCCTTGAAGCTCCCCACTGGTCCCCTCTCCCTCTGCTCTCTCCTAGCTGCTCCCAGGCTGAAATGCACTCCCTTGTGACACCAGTGGCCCTCAGCCCCAGAAGGTGGGGATGGACCAGGGCCTCACGTAAGCCACTGGCAAGGGCTCTGCCACCAGCCACACCCCCACCTCTCTCCAGTCCCTCCTTAGATGTCACCTTTCCTGTGGTGTCCCGAACACCCAGCCTGAAAACCACACTCTTCCCATGCTCCCACTCACTTTCAGCTTATTCTCCTCACCACAGAAAAAGTTCAGAAGTGTTTTTTAAACTAAAGAATTAAATGCTATCAATCTTAACAATGCCAGGATAGAAACGCAGCTGAGACAGGAGAAATGAACGGGAGCAGGTTACTCAGGTCTACACAATGCAGCAGTAAGTATGCTCTTTGGAGGCTCAGAAGTGAGCTTTTGACCCACCCCGAGAGTTAAAGGACAGGGACCCAGCACAGACCCGAGTTAGTATATGCACCACCAAAGCAAGCAGCAGACCCCAGAGTTAAAGTCAGGAACCCAGTCTCAGAAGGAGGCAGGAGGCTGCCAAGGTCAAGTGTCCTGACATCGCAGCCTTGGAGTTGTGGGGGCCTCACTCCTTGGGCTCTGGTAAAAGCACGTTGTACAGTCCCAGCACCCCTTCTGAGGATGCCTCCAATCCACATATGTGGCACCCTAGGCTCTGTCTTCTCTTCCTCTTATCACTTCCGATCTCTTCCCCTGGGCCCAGCCTATTACTGCCTTCCTGAGGAAGGAGCAGCATCCTCTGCTGACCCCTGCTGGCTGCACGTCTACACCACAGGTCCCAGAACCCAATCCGGAACTACTGCCCCTCTGGTCCACACGCAGGGCCCGGGTCTCCACAGTGGAAACCTGTCCCCACCTCCAGGAGCCCAGCAGCCACATGATGTAGGTGGCACGTAGGACCTGGGAACAGAGCCAGGTGACCAGTGCACCAGGCCTGCTGTGGCATGTGGGGCAAGGAAAGCATTCTGCTGGCCATGCACCCCAGAGTTGGGATCAGCCACATGACCCTGGCCAAGCCACCTCACCTCTTGCCTCAGTCTCCTCTTCCATAAAATGGACTCCTAATGGCAGTGGCAGAAAGCAGCTCTGACTCAAAGGGCCGGGGAACACTCAGCACAGGAGACAGGGTTAACAACTGAATAAGGAGTGAGCATGGTACCAGCTGATTCCCTTCTCCTCACTTCCAGTGGCCTCTTCCAGGGCTCAGCCCAGGCTTTCCTGCATCTCTCACGGGCCTGGGAGACAGAGGACAGCAGTGAGCTTCCCTGTGTGCCCCTACAGTCATCCTAAGCACCAGGCACAGGACCCCGCAGTACCACAAAGCATAGCAAATAGCCATGTGTTCTCATACAGCACACAGCTCAGAAACATACTTGCTGCCTTCTTGCTTCCTCCCCTTCCACATTACTCCTGTGTTCTTCCACTCTATGCCCTAAAACTGTGCTCTCTGGAGCCTGGGGAATGTAGCTTTGCCCTGGCACCTCTCCTATTGAACTTGAGATAAGCCAGGTGCTTGTCAAAGAGAATCATAGAGCTCTTATCTGTTGGGGTCAGAGTGAGTTCAATACACAGAAGCTAGCATTACTAGGTGCCGGGTATGCACCTGTCATCCTAGCTAAATGGGAGGCTGGAGCAGGAGGGCCTCTTGCACTGACAAACTGGAGCCCAGCCTAAGCAACACGGTGAGATCTCCAGATCAAAAGAAAAATAGTGTTTGTTGTTTCTAGCACCTTGGGCCAAGAGAATAGTGGACACTGGAGCAGAGCAGGTCAATAGAAGCATGGATGACTTTCCCCAGGGCTCCTCAGTGCTGGAGCCAGGGGGCTCATCTGCAGAGGGGAGCCCCCCCAATAAAGATGCCAGGGCCACCTGCTCTCAGTAATGGGGGTGCATGCAGGTGTTTCTCTAAGCACCAAGCAGCAGCCTTTCCTGGCGCAGGAAAGCAAGGTAGGGCACAGAAGCAGCATCTGTACCCCCAGCACCTTTACTCCCATGGTGCATCTGAAAAGAGGTAATACCTGTACTCTGAGAAGACACACACCGGGACATGCACAGCAGCAGCACACCAACCCACACCAGAGACAGCCCCAGGTTCATCTGCGGCAGAAGGGACTTGTGTGTGGTGTGCTCCACAATGGGACTCAGGAAGCACTGAGAATGAACAAGCTATGTGAAAACCACCAGCCTGGGTGATTCTCACCAACTCGATGGTGAGCAGGTACGGCCATGCCCTCTGCCGTTCTGACCTGCCTTGAAGCCAGCCAAGTATGGCCTGAAACATGAGCTAAAATAAACCTCTTCAGGCCAGGGATTCAGCTCAGTGGTTCCAATGCCTGCCTCGCAAGCACAAGGACCTGAGTTCGATCCCTGGTACCAATAAACAAACAAACAAACAAACAAACCTCTTCTCCCTTAAATTGTGGGTGTTGGGTATTTTATTCCAGCAATGAGAAAAGTGACCAAGATACCTTCCCTCACTGCCACCTCCTGCCTCTCCCTGCCTCTCCCACCTCCTCCCAGCAGGGAGTGGCCATGGCCAACCTAGGATTTGTGCAGCAATGGAGAAAAATCAAAGCATCTTCTAAATGTAATTTACCAGAAAGCTCATGGAGCAGAGCCCAAGGAATTCAAGATGCCCCAAGCAGCAAAGTTTGACCAATGTTTCTGTGGCAAGGCCCCAGATATGCAAGGGCAATTTAGCCTACCCAATCCTTTCTATCACCAAAACAACCCACAGCTCATTAAAAAGAAAAGACAACAGCCAGAAGGGTAGGGAAAAGAAAGCTTATAGCTACAAATCTCCCTCCCAGGGCCACTTTAGGTGTTTTGTCTCATCCCAAGATTGCCTGAGTTCTTGACACATTTCATTTGTCATCTGAAGCACTGAGTACACAAAAACATGCTCAAAACTGTTCCCAAATTCAAATTAGGTTGGGACTATACACTTAGCAGAAAGGCTCACATTAAAAAGTCCAATCACTGGTCATCCCTAGTGTTGCCAAGAATAATACAGAGCAAGGGGATCTCCCATAAAGCTCTGGTAGGGTTGTATGCAGTGATTCAATCACATCTGAAACCTGCTCAGCAGCTAAGAGATTAGAAGTGCACATCCTGGACTCTTCCCAAGTCCTTTTTCTTGAGCAATGAAGATGCTAAGAGAATTTTTCATTCTTATATTTGGTCTCTGACCCCAGTTCCAGATACAGAACTTCTAAATCCCTTGGACTTTCTTTGGTGACCAAGGTAATACATCTTGGACAGATGGGCAGCCTCGGGTAGGGACTGGTTGCCAGGGGAACACACTATGGGATTAAAGGGTTGGGACTTTAAGCCCCCACTCTCATGATCTTTGGGAAAGAGGCAGAATTAATTACCATTGGCTAATGACGCAATTGGTCAAAGCTATGTAATGAAGCCTTCATAAGACCTCTCCCCACAATTCCTCTGGAGAACAGAGAGATGTTCCAGCCTCCTATTCTGTTCAGCTTTGTGTATCTCCAAGTATGACACCTCTAGACAGATGCATGGACAGAGCTCTGTGTACCAAGTAACAACAGCCAGTGTGTATTGAAGGCTATGCCAAGCACGATCTGGGGGCTTTTCTTGCATTATCCAATATTGCTCACAATACTCTGAAGTAAGTACGCTTTTACACATAAGAAACCTAGGCAGAGAAATTAAGTGGCCCAAGGTCATGCAGGTAGCAAGGGGCAGAATCAATATCACACCCAGGATACTGGTCGGTTTATTCTCGGTAAAAGACAAACTAGGAGATGGCAGAACATTATGTAGCCCCAGCCCAGATGTGCAACAGTACCAGCATGGGAAGACCATCTTTAAAATGCATACTCCTAGCCAGGCACAGTGGCATATGCCTATTAGTCCCAGTACACTCGGAGGTAGAAGGATCTTGAGTTCGAGCCAAGCCTGGGCAACTTAGTGACTTAGAGAGACTTTGTCTCAAAATAAAAAGTTAAAAAGAAAGAAAATAAAAGAGCTTGGGATGTAGCTCAGTGTAAAGGTACTGAATTCAATCCCCAGTGGCACAAAAAAGCAAACAAAACAAAACAACAACAACAAACTTCCTCACGAGGATGCTTGGGAGGAATGGAAATGCTCACTATTTCAATTAAAGGCATGGTTTTGTGGATCTATGCATTTCTCAAATTTCAGGCGTTAAAGTCTTACCTTGCTTATTTTACTCTTGTACCACCAACACTAGCATATATTTACCATTTATCTCTTTCTAAATATAAACTAAATATAAAAAGAGAAACTACATTTTTTTACTATGACTGGAAAAACCAATGTCCTTTGCAATAAAGGCTGCAGTTAAAAAAAAAAAGTAACCATGAAAATAAACACATAAAGATATGCCTAGGTAAACCCTCAGATCCTGGGAAGTAATCTAGATCACCAAAGTCTTTGTCGACGACAAATGGACGCCGTTGGACGTGAGGGCAGATTTTAATCAGGAAACCCTGTTGTAAGAGGGAAGAGTCTGGCATGAAGTGAGCTCACTTTCTATTTGCACAAAAGCAACTGGGCCTTTTCCAGGAGGATGAGGGAGGAGGAAGGGACAAACCGAGGTTAGCAGAAGTGAAAATTACTAAGGTGGTCAACGTAAAGGAGACCAGCCCAGCTGTGTGAAGCGGGGCATGATCAAAGTTAAAGTTAGACTCCACTCTCCCACCGAGACCAGACATGGCCCCATTCTTAGATGTGGCTGGAACACAGAGTTCTCTTCAGCCTGGAGTTTCCTCAGGCAGGAACTTTAGGGGCAAAGAGAATAATCTTAGGGATGTGGCCTTGAGATAGTTAGGAACTATTTCAGGGTGAGGCCTATGCCAAGAAGAGGCTAGAGTTTGGTAAAGAAGAATCTTTACCAGCTTTTTGCTTAGACAAAAGCAAAAAATAAAAAGTGTATCAACATCAACATCGATTGAGACTATATACCAGTGCTACACAAGGCTGAGGTAGGTACTGTTAATACTTTCCCTCTTGGGCTGGGGATTTAGCTCAGTGGAACTGCACCTGTCTCACAAGCACAAGGTCCTGAGTTTGATCTCTGGTACTACTACTACTTCTACTACTACTACCACCAACACACACACACACACACACACACACACACACACAAATCCCTCTAACAGACTGAAGAAACTGAGGCTCAGAAAGGTGAAGCTGCCTGCCCAGGTCACAGGGCCAGGAAGGATAGGGCTCGGATTTGAACCCAGGTCTCACAGACGCTGGAGTTTGTAGCCCTACTCTCTGCCCCTAGCCTCTACCCAGCCTGAGGCCACCCCCTCTTATACAGGCCCATCCTGCCCATGTCACTAGTCCATAGCACTGACTCTGGACTCGCGTATGGGGCTGGGCAGTAGCTCTCACCTCATGCTGGAACCCTAGGGCAGCTCGGCAGACAAGATCCCTGCTTTAGACCACAGCAGCTCAGGGATGCTGACTGGGGTGCAGCCGGTCACAGGAGTTTTGAGGAGTTTCCTGGGGCTTCCTGCGAAGACAGGTTTCCACTGTCTGTCGTCCCACTCCATCCTCAGGCGGGCCCTGCAAGAAAGGCAAGTGGTCAACAGTGACTACATCCTGGGGGGGGGGACAGGCTCAGAGCATGAGGCTCACACTTGAAGTGTGAGAGAAAATTACAGGGTTTAAATTAAAAACCTTTTTTTTTTTTTTCTTCTTGTACCAGGGATGGAACTTGGGCCCTTGTGCTTTTGAGGCAGCACTGGAACTCTGAGCTAAATCCCCAGCCCTAGTTTTAAAATCTTTATTATAGTAAAGGACATATTGCCATGAGTCCCCCTCAAGATCCTTTCCCTGGTTTCACTAATACTTATCCCCTTTTCTTTCTGAAGCAGTTCTGGAAGTCCTCTTTCTTGAGTATCATTAGTTGAGCTGTCATGGCTGCCTCCGTGCCCCGAACTGATTCAAAACTTTGATCTTTCATGTTCATTTTGACTCTGGGGAAGAGCTAGAAGTTGCACAGTGCCAGATCTGGTGAATAAGGTGGATGAGGATGCACTCTCATGTTTTTCTAAGCCTGCCTTTCTGTTGGATGGCACTTAGCACAGTATTCACTGCAATTTAAAAATCATATTTTATAAAGACCTGAACGAGAACTTCTAGAACTGCTTCACAAAGTGGCAGGAACAGTGTTTTTTTGAAGCAAGGAGAGGGTATTTTGAGGAGGATTCAGGATGATGTGTCTCTTGCTATAATAAATTTCCTGATTCTAAGCCCTCATCGTGTATTTGATCACCTCTTGTGGTGGATGCTGTCTGGGTCTGGGACCCAAACTTCCTGACCTTCAGCTGACAATGTGTTCAAGACTTGCTTACAGGGCCAAATTCAAAGGGAAACCACAGATTCATTGCTCTCAGATGTGAAGGGCTTGTCACTCCTATTGGACATGGTAGGGAGTGGGGCCTGGTTCACCCTCAGGACCCCAAACCTGGCCAGGTTACTCTTGAGATTGAAGTATCTCCTCTCACCACACACTGGCCCAGCAGAAGCCAAGGGAGTCTGTAGTTCCCTCATAGTGGCTGTGCCTTGCACACCCAGCTTTCGCACGTGTCCTCATCCTGGCTCCTGGGCAGCAGCAGGGCACATGGAGGACCTGTCACTGTCCGGGGGCAACACTGAGCCTCCTAGCATGGTCCTGCCTTGGTGGCTGGCACACTGCCTGGGTCCCTGTCCACCTCAGGGAACTTGGGGGGCTCACTGCTCACCCTGGGGGGGACTCATGGGCTCACCGTTGTGGCCAATTGGGGGGGGCACTGTTTGCACCTGGGACCCCCAGGACCCCTCATGGTTGGGAAGGATCAAGGTCACCTCAACTTTGGAAACATCACCCCAGGCCTGAAGAAATGGGGAGGGAGGGAACCAGGCTTAAGGGCCGCCTCCCCAAAACCCTCTATGCAGGACAATGAGGGTCTGTGACTGTACAGAGGGCAAAACCACCCAACAGGCTGGGTAGGGACTAAGGGGGTGTAGGAAGTGTTCCCGCCCACCAGCCCCCCACCCAGATCTGGACCCCGGGGCAGGGCGGGGCCTGGGGGGAGGGGCGGAGCCGGGAAGGTTCTGGGCGCTGTGTCGTCACCGTCGCCATGGTCGTCACTGTCGCCACCCGTCTCCACCACCGTCACCGCGCTT